GTTTCAGCTGTCTACACCACAGCAGTGGGCAACGAGTTTAAAGCCCCTGATGGCTCTGGGCACTGACTCTCACCAGCGGCTATGGATGAAGTCACAGGTTATTTTCAGCCAGCGCCGGTAAAAAAAAAATTGTTTAACCAATATTTTCATATATCATTGATGCTTTTTTCCCCCCTAAGAACTCTTTGCCTATTTAAGCTTGTGAGGATCATCTTATTTCCTAGGAATATGGTTTCTGTTCCACCATCCATTTAGAATGAACTTTTTGTGGATAAAGTTAGATAGGTGTTGACTTTAGCTTTTTTCTATGCACGTATTTAGTTGTTCCAGGACTATTTGTTTTGTTGTTGTTGTGTTGTTTTAAAGCCAAACCCAACCCTACCTGTCTACATTGGTTGTTTTCCCACCTTTGTAAACAAGCAGTCATGTGGGCATATGTCTCAGTCTTTCTCTTTTCCTGTCTTTCCGGTCTGCTGTGCAGTCTTGCTTTTGTTACTTTTATAGCCTTGGTTTTCAGTGTGGGGGTCCTTTGACCTTTTGGAGACCTTGGCAATGGCCAGGCAGCTTGTTGGCCTAGTGGTGAGGAATGGTGCTGTCAGCTTGAAGGCATGTGGCTCGAACCTGCTAGCCGTTCTGCAGAGAAAGATGGGCATTCTCCTCTCGTGCGATGTGCTAACTCAGAAAACCTGCTGGCGTGTCAGCTATGAGTCGGTTCTGGCGCAGTGGCCCACAGCAGCTTGAGAGAGAGATTGATTTCTGGGTGTCACAGATTTGGGGGTACTCCTGGCATTAAAGTAAATGAGTGAAAAGAAGCGAGGTATGCGTCTAACCATAAAAAATTGTACAGGACAGTCACCAATAGTGAAGAATTATCTCATTCAAAATGTCAGTAAGTTCTACGTAGAAATGAATCACTTGGTCATAAAGCACTACTATTTATTTATGTTGCTGGATTTGAGATATATGTCTGTATTTATATCCATGTAAACAGACATACATTTTTCTAAATGGAGTTTTGTGTCTACATGAGTGATTTCAAAAAATTCTATTAGAAGATAGGGATCTCAGGTGGCTTAGTGATAGGGAATTAGGCTGCCAATACAAAGGTACACAGTTCGAATCCACCAAGTGCAACGCGTGAAAAGATGGGTAATCTACACCCGTATGATTTGCTGTCTCTGAAAACTCGCTGGAGGGCCAGCTGTGGGCTGGTTCCAAGTCGGGGGTACGAAAAAGAAAACTCATCATCCTGCTGCTAGAAAGTAGCATCCCCGTTTGCAGGTAGGAAACCTCAGGTTCAGGAAGTCATTTCCCCCAAAATTTATGATGGTAGCGGGTCAAGCCAGACTCTGAGTCCATGCTCTGAGACCCACTCCTGGGCGACCCTCTCTGTTGGTGGTTCCAATGTGGAGCCAGGCTGGCAGGAAGCCGACAGCAGGCCTTCAGTCTGTGTGTAGAGGCTGGATGCTTCCAGGAAGGTAACATGCAGGGAGGACACCATTCGTGGCCTTGGAGGGTTCCTCATTGTTGAGAGACTAGCAAACGCGGATTTCTTCACAGAAACCATCTCTGAGTGGTGGGGGAGCCCACTCTCATTATGAGCTGAACTGGGAATTTACCAGATGTTTGGCATGGATGGTCTCTTTATTTCTAGGATGCTTGGATATTAATTCTTCTGTGAAAGGGGCTCGCTTTGTCCGCTTCTGTGATGCGTTCAACATCCCACTCATCACATTCGTTGACGTCCCTGGATTTCTGCCTGGTAAGTCATTGATGGAGGTGGGGCCAGGAAAGCACCCCCTCTGTGTGGGGATCAGACTGCACCATTCCTCAGGGATTCGGGGCTTCTTCAGATTCTGGGTTTCCCAGAGGGAGGCGGGGTGAAGGGCTGACGCTCCCTTGGCCCTTTAGGGAAACGGGAAGAGCCCACGGTGAGGACATTCGTGTGTAGGTAGTAACTCTTGCTCACGTCCCAGGCACGGCACAGGAGTACGGGGGCATCATCCGGCATGGCGCCAAGCTCCTCTATGCGTTTGCAGAGGCCACTGTCCCCAAGGTCACAGTCATCACCAGGAAGGTAAGGGACCCAGTGGTGAAGCAGTAATCCCACTCTGTCTTGCTGTAGCTTCCATGGTTTGATGTCTGGCCAAGATTTTCACCAGAGGTGCGCACCACGTGTTCATGCCTGAAAAGACCTCCTGAGGGAGCATTCCCAGTTGTTATTGTTGTTGTGTAGAGTTGGAACCGACCCATAGCTGACCCTCCAGCAGGTTTTCAGAGGCAGTTAATCATACAGGAGATTGCCTATCCTTCTTCCGCGGTAGCCTTGAACCACGTGCCTTTGGGATTGTAGCACAGCTTCTTGCCACTAGGCCATTTGACATAAGGCCACAGAAGGTGGTAGTGGGAACATGGCTCGTGTGGCCTCACTTACCGGAAGGCCTCAGGACTGTGTTCCCATGTTCTTGGCTCTGTCCCCCAGGCCTTGAAGATGCTGGAGCTTCTGAATCTCAGGAGAATCGTATTTGGCTACTTTGGGACTGTCAGGGACGTGAACCTGTCACCTCAGCACCTAACGTTTGGAATCTGGTTCTCTTCCAGGCCTATGGAGGTGCTTATGATGTCATGAGTTCCAAACACCTTTGTGGGGACACCAACTACGCCTGGCCCACAGCAGAAATTGCTGTCATGGGCGCCAAGGTAATGACCCTCTGCTTTCCCTGTCCTGGGGTCCCGGGACTCTACTCTCCTGGCAGGAGCTTAAAATACAGCCGGGAAGTTTTGGAGTGAGACCAGAGCTCCACGTCAGGTTCAAGAGCCAAGGAAGCTGGGACGTGGGCCTTAACAAGAACCCCCCCCCCCCCCCCCTCTTTGACTGGACTCTCACTTCGTGCTAAGAGTTGGCCAACAGGTGAAAGGAATGAAAAGGGGGTGAGGGCTGTGGGTAGGAAGGTCCCAAACTTTGCTTAGGTTTTCAGACTGTCGGTCAAGGGTAGAAGATGGAAATCAGTTGAATTAGCCATTGCAAAGTTTGACTCTCTCCCCCAGCAGCTCCACTTCAGCTTCCGGAGGGTGGGGTAGGGGCTCAGACAAGCCCCTTTCAGCTCCTGAGAAGCTAACCTCTAGCCCTGAGCCCGGGGACCCAGGGAACGCTGCTTCCTGCTGCCGGCCCTGTTCGCTTCAGTCCTTCCGTTCTCTGAAATGGCTGTTGGAGGTGCTGAGCTCGAACTCCCAGCCTGGATGAATTTTCAAGGATTCTAACTTGAAGGCCCATTCTAGCCCCCTCACCCTTCATAAGAGAGTTCATCTCTCCTGGCACTACTGAGATTTGTCATGAAAGCTTCACTCTTTACTTGTCGTGGTAAAGTGGAAACTTGACTCTCCAGTGGGTTTTCAATGGTGTAAATTGAGCGGGAGGGGACTGCCCATCTCTCTTCCATGGTGGATCCAACAGAGGGACACAGACTGTGAACCAACACCCCAGCACCGTACAGACCACAGCACAGACGATAAAAAGGAAAAGAGCACTTGGGCTTTCCGGGACAGGGTTGCCATGAGCCTGTTAATACTCCTGGCCTCAGAGAATGGTGATGAGTAGGAATCAGAAGGGATCCTGGCAGACAAGCCAGCAATGGATGCTGCTGACGCCGTCACGTCACTCTGAGGTCACGACGGTTGGCTCCAGGCGCCTCTGTAGATTCTGTCCCCTGGAGCTGGCACTTCCCCTCAGCTCTTTGGCCGAGTTCACCACTGCCGGACCTGGAAGTGTGCAGTCCTTCCCCAGAGGTGCTGCCTGGAGGCCTGCCCAGGGTGGGACCTGACGATTGCTCTTGTGACAGGGTGCCGTGGAGATCATCTTCAAAGGTCACGAGAACGTGGAAGCTGCACAGGCCGAGTATATTGAGAAGTTTGCCAACCCTTTTCCTGCTGCGGTCAGAGGTAGGCGGGCTGTGGTAGGGAGGGCAGCTTTGTTCGTTTGCTTGGGCTTCACTCCTCCTTTTACCCCTAAAAAACTTCACAGAATTTCTTTTTCGCTCTTGGAGTCAGACTGAAGAGTACTGGGGCTGTCCCTAGAAAATCGTCCTTACGGACAAGGGGTATCAGGACAAGCAGGATTAAAACATTGCTTAAATGACACCATTTCTAAGTGTTTGATTTATCCAGTGTTGTGCCCACATCACACCAAGCTTGGTGGCTTCAAATGACGCCTTTTTTGGTAACTGCCGATGGTTCTGGGGATCAGCAGTTTGGTGTGGGCTCAGCTGGCTGGTTTTCTGCTGGCCTCGGTCCTGCAGCCGTCTGGTAGTCTGGCTGGGGTCAGGTGGCCCAGGATGGCTCATGAACTCGGTTGGTGCTGGTTGTCAGTTGAACTTGACTCTCTGCATGATACTTATGGAGGTTAACCCAGGACTCCCTGAAGGATTCTTGAGTGGAGGGAAAGCAGCAAGGCTTCTTGAGGCCGAAGCTGGGAAGTTTCCTCCAGTAGCAGCTTTTGTTATATTCTCTTGACCAAAAGTGTAGCGCACAGTAGGACAAAGAGGCTTCTCTTGGCGAGAGGTTTCTGTTGAATTCTTCTTGGTAGGGCGGATGCATTGAAGCAAGCAGGGCAAGGGTGGGGTTCTCATTCCCCCCTTTTTTTGGTAAGTGATCTAGACCAGAAGGAAGGGATCTGCCAGAAGAATAGGAATTTCTCCTTGGGAAGCAGGGTCGGAGCTCACAGGACTGCTACTACCCCTTTCAGCCCTGTCACATTGTCAGCTTAGGGCCGGTACCTCAGTCTGAGGACTTGGCAGGGTATTACCCCGGATGCACAAGACTGACTGACTTTCCGTGCTTTGCCAGGGTTTGTTGATGATATCATCCAGCCTGCCTTCACCCGGGCCCGGATCTGCTCCGACCTGGACATCTTGGCCAGCAAGAAGGTGCAGCGTCCTTGGAGGAAACATGCAAATATTCCTCTATAAACAAATCAGAGGAAATGAACCAAAGAACTAAACTACTGCCTGGCCATTCTTGCCCCTTCCTTGCATTTTGAAATCATGCACCAGAGAATCTCAGTATCAGTTATTAAATTCTAAAGCTCTTAATGTAATTGATATTTTCAATTTTTTTAATGGCATAAATACGAAAAATTAGAGCAGTACACGGCCTTATTACTCAGAGCTGACACTCACATGTTTGTGCAGTATCTTCCTCATCCCATGAAGAGCTGGGGGTTTTGGTGGGTTTTTATCCCCCTCTATTATTGTTGTTATGTGCCGTCGAGTAAGATTCATAGCAACCCTGTTCCCGACAAGAGCCCATTATAGTCGTCACCATGTCAGTCCACCTGGTTGAGGGTCTTTCTCTCCTGTGCCAATCCTTCACCCATCTCAGCATCATGTCCTTTTCTAAGGAACAGGCCCTCCTAGCAACATGCCAAAGTATGTGAGGCAAAGCCTCTTCATTCTTGTCTCCAAAGAGCACTGCGGCTGCACCCTCTCCAAGTCCTATTTTTGTTCTCTTGGCTGTCCATGGGATGTTCAGTGCTCCTCTCCACCACCACAGCTCAGAGGTGTCAATTCTTGTCATCTTTCTTCACTGTCCAGCTTTCAGATGCATAGTAAGTCATCAGAAAGACTATGGCCTAAATCAGACACACCTTAGTCCTCAAAGTGACACTATTACTCCTCAAGAGTTCCTTTGGTCTCATTTGTCTTTCTTAAAATGAGGATAATACGTTTTGCTCCTTAATTTCTCCCAAGAATTGTGAAGTGTTACTATCTTAACTGTACTGATGGGTATCAGATGATCAGAAAGGTATCATAAATGGAATGATTTTGGTCGCCTTTGCCGATTTGTGCCTCATTTATTGTTGATTAAAGCATGCTGAGTTTTTGTTTTCTCTGCATTTATTCATTGAACACTACGGTTCAAATCCATGCTGAAATGCTTTGACGACTACCCTGGCCAGCTGCCCAGCGGCCCTGGAGAGGCTGGAATACTGTTCTTTGCTGGGACAGATGGCATTGTCATGACTCCAAATCAGCTATAGCAACTGGTTTGGATTCTGGTTCTTACCTTTTTTAGTTGTGGCCAAGAATTGATGAATAGCAGACAAGATCTTTCAGTAGGTTTGCACAATGGTTGGCCAGTCAGAAGGTTGGTGCTCCTAACCCACCCAGTGCAGCTGTGGCGGAAAGGCCTCAGGACGAACTGTAAAGTTAGACCCAAGGAAGCTCTTTGGAGCTTAACTTCCAATCGCATGTCCAGTCTCTGTGACTGGATAACAGTGGGGTGTTGTCCTCAGCCTAGTGTCTTCAACAGCAGCTCAGAGAATGTAGTGCAATCACTGGAGGGTCCACTGATTATTCTTGCTTTGGTGACTGTATGCTGAGGTCTTAACCTTGTTAGAAATAACCCTATTGTATCAGGCTTAGTTCCCAACATTTATTAGTTGGAATGCTATGTGTAAGGAAAACCTTTTTTCTTCCTGATTTTTAAAAATTTTACATATTTTAAAAAATTAATTTTAATGAAAGTTTACAGACTTAGGGTTTCCATTCATTCACTGTTGCCCTTTCTTCCTGATTTTATCAGTTTGGATGAATGGATTCTATTTTAATTCATTCACATGCCTTCACTTGGTTCGTTTTAGGACTCTGCTGTTTAGGTTGATACTTGTAGTTTCCTCATCTGTTGGAAAAGCTTCAAGGTGACCTGTAGGAGCTTCAGTTTTCAGTGATTTGAGCACCAACTTATTTTCAGACACAAAGCTTTACCTTCTGTTATTCTTGTCCTGCCCTGTAATCAGCCATTTCTCCAAGGAGCCCACTAGATGTTCACATTGTTACCTGGATATGTGTGTGTGTGTGTATTTTCAGGCCTTAATTTATATTACAGTTTTAATTCCAGTCTAACTGAAGTTCTTTGCAGTCCACATTTCTATCTTTCCTTCCTACTTGGCTCTCATTATCCTCACTATGTTGGATTCATTTGCTCAGTGCTACAATAAAGGCAGACTTCCTCAGTGCTACAACCGTACCACTCTCAAGAAAGCTCTAAAGACTTTTTTTTTTTGTGGGCCCTTTAAACAAGGTTATTTGAATTACTAAGTGGTGGTTTCTGTTGTAGGTTTTTCCCGACTTTGTTGACTTAACCAATTATGTAAAATTATGTCCTGGTTGGAGGTTTGATCTTGACACAGATCCACGCTGTTCTGTTCCAGGGGATCCCCTCGGGGTGTGCTTTCCTCTACGGTAAGAGCCATGGGACCCACCACTGCTTCCTTGCTTCCAAGGAAGGTCAAGTTGACCTTCACAACTAAGTGACTGGTGTTTGCTTTCCACTGGTAGTCCCCACATTCCAGGGCCCCAAGCTCCCACTCTTATTTCTTTTTTATTTTGTGGTGGTCTCTCCTGGCACTCAGGAATGTTCTTTCACTCCCCATTCTGGCTGGACACTGGACATTTCTTCAGGTCTCCCCACTGGTGCCTGTTCTGCAGCTAACAGGCTAACTCACTCCAGCATGTCCCTTCTCTCGTGCTTCCAATGGAGAGCACCCTCCTCAGAGGCCCACAGCTCCAGGGAGAGGTACTGGTCAGTCCTTGTTTGCCTGGTGTTTTGAGTCAACATTTACCTTCCATTGAAGCACTTTTTTTTTTAATGGCCATCTGTTCATTAAGAGAGTCCTAACTTCTTGATCTGAGCTCCTTAATCAAATGGATTGTTCTAACAGGCATCTTAATTTTCTCTCACTTCGGATCCATTTTCCTTGTCTTCCCAACTAGATGTTGAGCTCCTGAGATAGGGATCCTGTTTGACCAGAGGTCCTTTTGGACTCCAGAACCATCAGAGACTGCTGGTCACTGGGACCTGGGCAAGGGTGATGCGCTCCTCAGCCTTTCAGACCTAGGTCTGACTTGTGCAGGTTGGCCAGGCTGCTGGTGGTCAGCTCTTCACCACTGTCGGGGCAGCCAACAGGGACTGGGGCCCAGTTTTGGGGATGACTGTGCTTTGTCCACAGAAACAATGTAGACACATGGCTTTGGTTTTTGGAGCCAGAGGCTGAAGAAGTGGTCCATGAGGTTGCTCAATGTGCATGCAAGAAGGACGTGTGTCTGGGATGGCTGTCAGAGGACAGTGAAACCCAGCCTGGAAAGTACCTGGTTCAAGGGCTCCTGGGAAGCCTCGAAGCAAAGATGGAGACAGTCCCATCCAGAAGCCCAAATGGCCAAGAAAATAAGCTGTAAACTCCTGGGATGTTTTGTCAAGTGATCAACCTCTATGGATAACACTTTGCAAACGCGGCAGTAAGCACCTCAACGGCTGTGCAGGGACACCTTTCACAAATGGTGCTTTCAATTTAGAGAAGAAAGGGAAATGCTGAATTTTACCACCAGGGATGACTTGGGTTTGCTGGCAAAACTGTGAGCAGGTAACATGAGAGAGGGTGGAAGCAGAGAGCGTTGACGTTCTCCTGGGGTTGGGTCTCGGGCTAAAGTCACTGAGCAGTGAAGCTGGTAAACCCAGGCAGGTGTGCTTGCCCCTCGTCCATGCTCTCCAGTCCAGGATCTGAGCACTCAACTCATGAGGCAGTGGGGTGACGCCCAAGGTTGGGAGGAAGTGTCACCTGCAGTGTTGTCTTGTAAACCCTCAGAGCTCAGCTTTCCTCTCATGCTCAGAATCCCATACACAGCACGGCCCAGGGAAGCCAGTCATGGCTGAGCTACTCCAGGAGACAACCCTCCTTTCTGCAGTCTCCACTGAGGTGACAGTATTGTTGACAGAGTAGTTATTGACCCAGTTTAGACTCTTGCCGCTTCAGTAGATGCATCATGTTCTCCTGGGGCCTTAATGCTTTCTAACCATTGGTCTTTATGTTTGTCGCCCCTGATGCCAGCACGGGATTCCTACTCTTCCAAGCAGGGTCATCTGGGTGGAAGGCCTCAGTCTGGAGCCCGGGCAGAGTTCAGCTGGCACAATGATGCAGCTTTGGTAGCTTCCACCACACACTGGCTGAAGATGTGGAGAAACGTGCCCTGGAAGGATGCAGAAACCTCCATTACCATCCGCACAGGAAGGCCCTCAAGTGGGCGAGCCGGAAACCTGAGGTTTGGCTTGAGTATCTTCTCTCAGAAGAGTCTGCTTGTTATCTGTGAAGAGGGAGTTGGGTCACACCAGGGTCAAGGTCTCCCACGTTAATGACTTTCAGGATGAGTGGGCAGAGCTGACATTTCCATCCTGAGCTGTAAACTCTTGTGGCGGTGTGTGCCCTACACTTCTGTGTCTCTTCTGTCCCAGGCACGCTCTGGACCACTGGGCTTTGGACAAAGGACACTGCCAGGCCCACAGGATGCACTGCCCTTAGATGGTGGCTGTCCGGTTTGCATTGACTCATACAACCCTGTAAATAACAGACCACAGTTCCCAGTTCTGCGCCGTCCTCACCAAACACGGACTTGAATCCACCTGAGAGTGGGGTAGAACTCCTTGCAACCTGTCAGCAGCTGACCTGAACCCTGCCCTGTCCGTACCATCAGAATCAAATACACCATTTCTTCAGGCCAGGTGCTGACTTTGGGTTGAGTCTGCAGGTTCCCTCTCTCCTGGAGAGGCTCTCATTTGCGAGTGTGCTCGTTCTCGATGTCCTGCTTTTTTCCATTTTAAAAAGTTTTATTATTTTGTGTGTGCGTGTACCGTCAAATCGGATTTGACTGGTACAGGAGATTGTCCCTCCTTCTCCAGCAGAGCATCTGGTGGATTTGAACTGCGCACCTCTGGGACTGCAGCGCAGCTTCTTGCCACGAGGCCACCAGAGCTCACCAATGTCCTGCTTTCTTAAAGAAAATCCTCATTGTGCCTAGTAACCTTGCCAGCACGTAAGAAACTATCCGAAGCAGCAAACTCCAAGGGCAGGACAGGAAAGAGCCCCTAAAGCTGTCCCTAGGAAAACAACAGGCTGACCAGCACACACCTCGTTTTGAACAGTTTATTAAAGGAAAGGTGAAGCATCAGTTTCAAATTGTACAAAAGGAAAAAAAACTTCATATTGCAAATGTACAATTTACAGAATTACTAGCAAAACCAATCAAGGAGACACTGAAAATACAAAAATTGGTTTGACTCAAACTGAACTGGAAACTCATTGGAGTAGATATTAAGCCTTCCTTGGTTGTATGGTGTCTGCAATCCTAAATGAGCATTTCTTTTCCACACAAGACTGTCACCCAAGACTAGTCTGTGGATGTGCCAGGTCCCTGGCCAGAGCCATAGACAGGGCTGGCGTGGGGGCAGTCTGATCACTCCTGACCCTTCTCTTCCAGTGAAGCCTGTTATTTGACACCCTGGCTCCCAGTAGGAGCCCAGGAACTGCTGATTTAGCAGATTAATGGGGGGTTTTGTGGGTTTTTTGGTGACCCAAGTTTTTTCTGAACTGTACAAATGTTGAGAAAAATTTTGTCTGTTTACTAAAGAATGAATAAAATTAATTCTGATTTACCTCACAAAAGATAATCATACAGAATTTTTTAAAAACGCTTTTCATTTTTTGGTAAAGAGAAAGCCTCATGATTCTGTGGCAGCTACATTAAAAACCAGCCCAGAACAGCTGTGGATGGATCGGTTTAGAAACGGAGGCTTGCTTTAAAAATGTTAAAGGAAGGGGCTGACTGGGGCTTTTTAAACAACAATAGCAGCAGGTCATGAAAGTCCAAAGAGATTGTAACTCTAAACCATCAAAGACTGTCCTGAAGATTCATAATTTCTTTCTCCAAAAGAATTATTCTTAATATGCACATTTAACACTGAGATGTAGCTGTATTTCAAGGTAAGCTTGAAAACTTCACCCTCTAAGCACAGACTTCTATGCAGCACAGACTTCTATTAATTGGTAAAATTAATTCACAAAATTAGCGCATAAGGGTATTAAGTGCATGGGAAGTAGACACATTTATGTTACACTTAAAAGTATTTTTAAATGGCGAAGTGATTAGAATTTCTTCATGATTCTCTTAAGAAAATGGAAGTCTTTGTAATAGGAATTTGGCGGGGCATGAGAGTGGTAGAAACAGCAAACCGATAACTTGAGAACCATTTGTTTTACTGAGAATACTTTATTTGCTGGTAGAAGTTGCTAAAAATGCACAGAACAAATACCAATAGAAAATGTACTGTATTTGACACTCCCTGTTCTCTAGAAAATGAATGGTGCACAGCATCTGCTGGAAAATGGCTGCAAGGGCATGTCTTACTCTGTGCCCTTTATAAATAAAAATAAACCTTTTTATTAAAGAGTATATAAAATCTGGGAAGTCTATCCGTATCCACAGAGGGTTTGCGGGTTTGGCAGATAGATACACTGTGTCAGGAGAGCCTCCTGCTTTTCCAACCTTCTGCTCCCCATTCTGTGCTCCACGAGGCCGGCCGAATCCAGTGCGCTCCGGCCGGGACACGCCTCAGCCTTAGGAAGAGCCGCTTACTCGGAAATTTAATAAAAATGGTTAGCTCTTAAAACATAAAAAGGCAAAATGTTAAAACGGTTTTTAAATTGTACAACAGGAAAATAAAGTTAAAAATATTTTTTTTTTTCACTCAGTGCCGAGTTTTCATAAAACAGGTGTATAACAGTGTTTATCTTGACGGCTGTTTTTAAAAATTTAAAATTTTTTTCCTCCCTCCAGAAAAACACACTCATCTGTATTTGGGGTGAGTCCAATGTGAGGACACAAATGATTTTCGGGCCAGTCTTTCTGAGGTGACATCATCGCCAGCGTTCCCTTGGGTAATGTACATGCTCCTCTTCTCTGTCACTGCAAAAAGGGGCTGACCGCAATCATTCGATTAAAAAACAAATACAACCACATCAAAAGTGTTTTTTTCCCCCATACAAGCTATCACAGTATATAGGCCTCTAGCTCTAAATAATAGAGTTCCAGATTTGTAAAATGTCTTCAGACTTCAGAACATCGGCATTCCAAATCCCTGCGGAAAGAATTGGAAACAATGTCTTAGTGTCATGCATAAAGAGGACTCAGAGGCACCGATTAAAAAACTGAGCTTAACACTTACTGAATCATCTTCTATGATAGCTGCAGAGTCAAAGAAGTCCGGCCTCAGCTCAGCTCGCTCTCGCCGATTTCTCGAAGGGGGCTGAGAAGAGAGGCAGGGAGTCATTTCCTGAGCTAGTGGCAGACAACAGTGACAGTGTTCTAAATACGCAGAACTGTTCCCACTCCATTTTGAAAGGAGAGGGGAAAGAATTAACTTCTGTGGAACACATTTACCAAGATTTTGGATAAACACTGAAAATAACAAGGAATAAATTGAATATGAAAATCCATATAAATAGTTTTGGGCTCACAAACACACTTTCCATTTTAAGTCATGGAACAGTTTTAAAACTGGTCAGATTCAAAACTCAAGTGAATGTCCCAAAGAGAAGACAGATGAAAAGCTGCCGGCCAAGGGGAAGAAGGCACCGTGTGGGCTGAAGTGACTGGACAGGCACTCATTGTGGGAAATTGGAAATGTATCAAATGGGGATCACAGAATCCAGCTTATTGTCAAGCAATGAGTTATTCTTGCTTCATTGAGCTCCTTATTGGTCCATGTTCTCTGTGTCATTTTACCTGTATTTTAACTAAAAAAAAAACAAAACAAAAAACCAAAACAACTTTACAAACTTAACCACCACGCCATTACTCTTCCTGACAAAATTCCACTTTTAGTATGTATTGCTGCCCCTGGCTGGCTCTGACTCTCGACATGTGTGGATAAGAACGGAAGGGGACGTGGTCCTCTGCTGCTGCCTGTGGCTGGCCTCACATCCGTGCCCACCCTGTGCCAGGTCATCTCACTGAGACTTGCTTCTGCAGCCTTCATGTTCTTTTCTGGTAACTGGTGTTACTGATGATGTGTCCGAAGTGAGGAGTCATCCAACCATCAGGGCTGACAAACAGCCCATTTTCTTTCTTCTACGACTGATGTGTTCATTCGAATTCAAACCCATCAATCATTTTTCGTTGTCTCTGCTCATTTTTCGCAAGCATATGAGGCAACTGAAAAAGCCATGGCTTGGGTCACACAGGCTTTAGGCATCAAAGAAGACATCTTTGCTTTTTAAAACTATTAGAGGGTTTTTGTAGATTGGCCCAATATAATATTTTAGCTGTTTGATCCGACTGCTGCTTCCATGGAGAATCTCATCTATTATTATCCAGTTCATACTCACACAGTTCATCTCAAAGATGGTTTCTCACACTGGCAAGTAAGTTTTATATACTGTATGGGGTGGTTATGCTGGAGCACAGCGCCCTACACTCAGACAAACCAGAAATTCAAGTGCTGGGGCATGTGCTGACAGATCTGGGTGGTCCTTCCTGAGAAGGGAAAAGGAACGGTTTCCATCACCTGCTTTTAATCACTTATCTAGATGCGTTCAAGATCCACCTTGCCCACGGGCGGTCAACAATGCCCGTTCTTTCCTGAGACGCACAGGCTCCATTCTCACTTTCGTGGTCTGACGTCTTGTTCTTCTGTAGTGAAGACTCGCAGACCACCAGGGTTCCATTTCTATTGTTTGTCTTGCCGGTGTCACTTTAATCCTAAAAAAGTAGTTCTTAAGATAATGCTCAAGGCATACCTTTTTCCTACTAGTTAAGCTATAAATGTCTACTTGGTTTGGGGAAGACCTCAAGGGGGAGACGTGTGGTTTAAGAATTAAAGGCTCTCTCAGGGCAACAGTCTGGTCCCAGAAAGGTTGGAGTCTACAAGCATCTGAGTCCCTCTTTGAATCAGGATTCTTCTGTAGAAACTTTGATGAAAATGGTCAGTAAAGGAAGTCAGGCACCATCCAATTCTGGTCTCCTGGAAAGGAGGCAGTTACTCATGAAGGCAGTTAATCTTTTGCCTCTTCGTTTGATGCTCCAGGCAAATAGAGATAAGCTGTCATTTCCCTGCATGGCCACATGCCAGCTTTCAAGACCCCAAGCACTAGATAACAAAGTAGGAGATTTGACAGAAACTCATCCATATGTTAACAGAGGAAAAAGAAAGTTCTTTACCAGATCAATAACCATGGTGTCTTCAAATTCTTCATTCATATCTTCTAACTGGCTCCGGGATGACATCATCACATCTTCAAAGATGGGTTCCGCATCATCCTCCATCAGACCCCGCCTGGAAGAAAAGTCACAGAAACCGTTTCAGAGTCATCCAGTTTAGAGACCTGACTCTTTCCTCATACCGTAAGAATATCTAAATACAAACTATGACAGAACTCTAAGATAATTAAGGATGATTTCTTAATTCAAATATTACCTAGCTGGAAGGAGGTAAAACGAAACGTAATATTGACAGCATTTCTTTTGCTGGATGTCAGTCTTACAAGACTCTGAACGAGTGGCACTGCTGTTCTGCATCTCCAGTGAGGGACCTGGGGCGCTCAAGGCCACAGGTGGACCAAAGTGGATGGAAATGGTGAAAACCAAGAGCTGATGCCCTCCCCTCCCACCCTGTGTGACACAGGACATCTGGAGCTCTGAGATCTAACAGCAGAGACCCCGGCCAATCTAGAAAACGACCTACATCATGTTCGGGTGTTGGAACAATGTGATACTCACACGGCATGCCTCACTCCAGTTCTCACTTTCATGTAGTTCATTCCTGTTCTGTCCTTCCGATTTAAGTCTTCTAACTTCGGCTGGCCTAACCAAGAGATCTGCATCTGAGGACTGAGAGGGGATGCTGTTATTTAGGGGAGGCACACGATGGCTGTCGCTCACCAGCCCCTGTGGAGGGGACACTGCAGGCAGAAGGAGGGCTCTGGTATGCTCCTTCTGACATAGAGGCTATTTGCACTCCAGCCCCTTAAAGTGGGTTTCTGCTTTTCCCCACCTTCTAGCCACCTTTACCTGCCTCTGGATACAAGGGAAGCAAGCTGCCTGGAGAGACCCCCATCTGCATGGTACCTGGCTGCTGTGTTACACTATTACGGGCTGCTGCCCACTCAGATGTTTTGAGCTGGATAGCGAGCCTCCTAAAGAAGAAAGGGATGCCAGCCTGGAGGCTCAGAACAAGGAAGGGATGACAACAACCCATCTCTCCTCGCTTGGTCTCTCGGGCCACTGATGAACTCTACGCTTGCTGGCACATGAGCACTTCCAGAAACATGCCTCCTGGGATGTAAAGTTTCGTGATTTTAGGAGATAAAATCTGGAGAGGCCCTCTCTCAACAGCTGTCTTTCCCTGCCAACCAGGAATGATCACTGGATCCAGTATATCAAGTGGGGCCTCCATCTTGATCAAACATACAGCTGAGGAAAGCAGAGACACCACAACCAGGAGGAACTGGGGTGGGAGATGCGAGACAAGGCAGGCTGCTCTGGGGATGTGGAAGCAGTGAGGCCCTTTTCTATGGTGCAAGCCACCTTTCAGGACTCGACACAGAAGACTGCCCAAGGGCTGAAGTAATGATCTTTTAAAGCAAAGATGTCTGATTAAATGCAGAATGTAAATACTATTTAACATTGCCTCTTTCCATTTAAACCTAATAAGAACATTCTGTTTAAGTGAGAATGCTCTCAGCTATCAAAGTGAAGAGCTAAGGTAATGTCAAAAGTTGATAGAAAATAACAAAACAAAATTTTTGTTCCGATTCTGTAACAAAAATTCATGCTATCACCCTGTACTGTCCACAGTTTACAGAGTCATATGAGAACTGTGTATCAGAAAATATTTTAATTGCTAGTCTGGGGGCTAGGGTAACACTTTGAGAAACAGTTCTTTAAATTAGAAGATACTTAAATTTAAATCAGAAGCAAGATATTTTTGATGTCTAGATGACTGACAGCCTCACACAGCTGCACTGAGGCCCTTGGTTGGGAGTAACCTCACCTATCTGCAAATCCCAAATGAGAATCAAATCTACCCGTCTGATGAAATGACAAGTAGCGCTTAAAAGTCTGTGATTCCTCTGGGAAAAGTATAAGCTTTTAAACAGATGTATCTGATACGGAAGGCCAAAGAAGAAGTGATGCCTTTACACTGTGGAGCTGGAGAAGAATATGGAATATTCCAGAAACGGCCAAAGAACAATCGATTCTGACTTGAAGGATGTGAAACTAGAGTGTCCTAAACGCAAGATGTGTCAGGAGGGCTCTTCCTTGTAAAAAGACATCATTCTGGGAAAGGACAACCCTTGGGGAGCTGGACGGATAGTGACCTGAACGTGACAGAGATGATGAGGATGGCGTCAAGGTTCTGCCCGTTGTCCGTGGGGTGAGTTACAAGCTGACTCGATGGCACCTGACTACAACAACATCAACAACAGCATGTGCCCTGTCCATATGCACTGCTTTTCCTTTAGCTCGCCACAAAACTCACAGCCTAACATAACCAGCCAGGGTGAGAAAATTAACAAATGTAGATTTTAAAAAAAACAAACAAAACCCCACCAACTCCACAATTTAGAGGTTAAAGAAAATAGGATCCAAATAAAGCTTAGTAAAAAATAAAACAAACCAAAACTTAAATACAAGTGACAGTGAAGGAACCAAGCCTTCCGCCTTACTTGTGTAGGAAGTCTGGCTCTGAGCCGTGCTCGGACTCCGGCTCCGGCATCTGCTCGCCCATGGGCCGGCTGTTCTCCCGCAGCACCGTGGACGTGAGCTGTGGCGCCGGCAGGGGGCCTGGGGTCTGAATGGTGGTGTCCGTCCTGTTTAGCCATGTGTTGTCCATGCTCTCATCTGTAACGTTCCAGTTAGAATCACAAAGGTCATAGGATCATGTCACCTCTGGTGGCTGCTACAGCTCAGACTTGAATCTGGACTTGGACTGCCTCGTCTGAATCCTATTTCTCAAATCACTCATTGGAAGAGCTGATTTCTGACACCCTCTAAGTTTGTTGTTTGCTCTATGAAATGGTACTATGGCACCTGACTCTACAGAGAGCGTCTCCCCTGCACCCTGCTGCCTCTGGGCTGCCTCACAGCGACCTCCACGGGGTTTCTGAGGGACAGTGTTCACAGGGAGACTGGCAGGCGGGTTAATACTCTGGTTAGCAGGCTTGCGCACTGACGAGAGTGATCAGTATTGACTGAGGTAATGTAACCACCCACGTGCTGGTTACCACACTGTCAACCCAAGTGCCTTCATCTTAGCTGAAGAAAAAGGAATTTCTGATCTATTTACTTGTTTTCAGTATGAATACTTCCTATTGATCAGACTTCCCTGGCATTTCCAACCCCTATTTCCCATCCTCCAACACTCTCACTGCGGCTGAGGTGGAAATGACTCATAGCTGACGCTGTGCTGTGCAGAGGCAGTAAACTGCATGAGAGATCGCCTGACTTTTACCCCTGGAGCCTCTACTGACCTCTCAACACCTTCAGGCTCGCAGCATCATGCCCTATGGGCTATGACCAGAGCACCCCTGGACGCCAAGGCTCCACTGCCCCCCCTCCCCAATTAGGCCATTACTGCTGTTTTAAGGTACCACGTCCTTTCAACTCCTTCCTCCTCAATCCTTCCTGGCTCTACATTGAACCTTTTGGTCTGCACCCTCAGTCTGACTCCAGTTCCTGTCCCTCTGAACGTCCTGCACCAGGCTGTATGCATGTTCTCTGCAGGAAGCCTGGTCTCTGCGCAGAAAAGCAGACTTACCTTCCACTCGCTTTTTGTGAAGCGGAGGTCGTCCTTTCTTGTTCCTCACTGACGACGTTTTGCTGCTGCTGCTCCCACTGTTGACAGACATCCGGTCGTCCTCCCCGCCAGTGACCAGGGAGTTTCGGTAGGAGATGAGTGGGAGCCACACGTCCTCCCTCCGCTCCATCATCTGCTCGGTGAGGAACTTCTCCAGGTAGGAGTGTCTAGGGCCAGCAGAAGCATGGGACTGTCAGGGACGCAGCTCAGGCAGCTCATGTATCGTGTTCCCCTAACCTGAGTTTATCTCTGGAAGTGCTGAAAAATCTCTAAGAACACACTTTAACATCTGATAACCGTGGTTACTTCTGGATGAAGAACACAGAATTTAAGATTTTGCCTCATATATTCCCGGAATTATTTTAAAACAAGATCTAACTAATTCTAAAGGGTGTTTCTTCCTTTTCATTTAAAGACAAATATAAAAAAGTCAGGAATTGTGCCCTAAAAGGTGACTGGATTTCCTTCCAAAACATTTAAACTCGATGAGACTTCTGACATGGTGGAGTGAAAACCTGGTGTTATAGTTTCCCCAGCAAAACAAGGTCCTTTCTGGGTGAAAATGAGAAAAGGCAATTGCTGGGGCTAAAATAAAACATGCTCCCTTCAATACGCAGCTCAGTGACTCTGTACTGTCTCAGTGGCTGTGCACTAGTTTCCCAGCTGTATGTGGGTTCGGGGGACACTGCCCCTCTTAGTCCCTGGGGGCTGGTGGTGGATTCAAACTGCCCGAGATGACGGCTTGTGGGTTAGCAGTACCCTCACTGTGGGCCAGGCCACCAGAGTTCCTGCAATCATTTAATGGGCTCCTCCTCTTTTCACCACTTCTGCTGTGCAACGACTCCTGGCACTGGAGGCTCTCACTGCCCCACCGAAACCTCATCACAGGAGTGAAGTGCTACAACCACAGTGGCCAGTACAGAGCCAAGGGCTACCGGCTTCCAGCGTCTGTGGGAGACTGAGGGGTGTTACTCTGGTTGCTCTCCCAGCCCAGACAGTGACAGAGGCTTGACACAGGCTATAAAGCTCAGGCTCTCCACTGCCCTGCCTGAGGGAAGTGGCTTTACCTAGAATTACTGTCAGGGGCTGTGGAGGCAGCTCTGACTCATGCCCGAGCCTCCCAGTCTCTATGCTTAAGCCCACACCTCCTGAAGGGCTTGCTTTCTCTGCAGACCCTGTATCTTTCCAGGTATGATGTCCTTATCCAGGGATTAGGCCCCTTCTGATCACTGCCCTGAGTATCTGGAGGAGTGCATGGAAAATCCCTTGCCTAAGGGAATGAAAACAGCAATGAAGATCTGGGGGGAAGGAATTAGGAGGAGGAGGAGGAGGAGGATGAGAGTAGCTCAAGGTGCTCCTGGTGACAGTGAGTGGGAAAGCTGAAGGTTCACTAGAAGCAGGCTGCATTTAAGAGGACCCAACTATATGCAGTCTTTAAGAGACCTACTTCTGGTTCAAAGATACAAAAGTAAAATGGAAAAGGGTTACTGTGCAATCAGTAACCAAATGAGCTATAGCGGCTACACAAATATCAAGCAAAATGGACTTCTAAGAGTTAGAGCTGAAGGGAGTCCAGATAGCCTCGTCCTTAAGGCGCTGCGCTGCTGACCCAAGGCCACGCCTCTCCGGCAGTTTGCTTCAAATCCACTAGTGGCTCCAGCCTCAGAAACCCAACAGGGGTCCACTATGAGTAGGTTCTGATTAGATGGAAATGAGTTACAGACTGAAAAGTATACTTTATAATGATAAAGGATAAATTAAAAGGCAAAACAAAAACCACGCATATGTTCAACAAAGATCTCCAAAATCACACGAAATAAAAATGGAAAGGTTTCAAGAAAATAATTCTGTAGTAACAGTTGGAGACTTCAATACTTTCAATAATGGATAGAACAAAGCGGAATATTAAAAGACAAACAATACTGTAAATCAAACTATCTAAAAGACGTAAGAACACTCCAACAAAGGAAAGCAGACAATCAGACATTCTTCTCAAGTGTGAAGGGAACATCTTCAAGGTCGCAAAACAAGCCTCAGCTGATGTGAAAGGAGGGAGACAGAACAGTGCCTGTTCTCTAACCACATCAAAATGAAACTTTTAAGAGTACTCAAATGGATTAATCTTTACCAATACTCCACGCCATTACGCAACTCTGGTGTCTGAAATGATCACTGTCATGTTTTACACTTTCAGATGTGTAACGAACTGTCTGAAGGCAGGAACTCTGTATTATTCATTGCTTGGACACATTACAAAAATGGCCAGAGATTAATCTATGACCACATTTGGGTCTAGATAAATATTTTCTGATCAACATGAAATTTAGAGCTTTCCTTAGAACTCAGTCACGTAAATTTAACTGTTAACAGATTTGATTCAGTCTTATTATAAATGACTTTCCTTTCTATAGAATTTATAAAATTGGAATATATTACATTATTATTCCTTTTTTTCACTATTCTTTTAAAAAGTTTTTTAATTATTTCTAAAATACCCTCATACTTCTTTAAATTATTATCAGTGATACAAAAGATACAAGAACAAGATACTAATTTTCTTTGTGAAACAGGGAAAGCAAAACAGAAAATAAAAATGAAAAAATGATTATGAAAGAAAAGATTATATAAGAGCTAAGCCAATGTTTGGACATCTTTGAACTGTAGTAGAAGAAATAATTTCTCTATAGTTAATTTCATCCTGTATACTAAAAGGTGAACTGAAATAAGAACTATGTAAAAAGCTGAAATAAGAGTCTTTCAAAACAAACAAGAGGGAGTGTAAATTATCAACAATTACCAGGTTTTCCAGATGATTCAAAAATACTCTGCAAATAATGAAGACGTAAAATGTATAAACACTGTCATGAGAAGGACGGATTCTCCTACACTGTACAACTTACACAGTCTTCTTGTCCTGTCGAAGAAGTTTAGAAGAAAATTCACTTAATACTTCAAGGAAAGCCAGGTTAGGAGGTGGGTATTCTTGTCCTTTCTGATTTTGGTATTTAAAGGCAAATTCTATGCCATCCCTGAAATGAAAGAAAACATCATTTTATTTTTCCAGAAAGCCATTATAGTTCTTTTGGGTGTTAGAATTACAAAAGCAGATGGGAAGCCAGAGAAATCATCACTAATGGCAGTGAAATTGGATAAATATTGAAAAATGATATTAACATAAAGACACAGCTGTATAGGAATTAATCTTATTTACGGCAGAACACTATACACTGTAAAGAGTAAATAAAACCAAAACAACAAAGCTAAATTTTTATGCTAATTTTGAGGGGCCACATAAAGGAAAGAGAATTAGACTTAGAAAATTTGGTTCTGCGAGCTGGCCCTGGTCTCAAGTGACTTAAATTATTACTCAGTTTCCATAGTTAGAAGATGGTCCACATCAACATTACACAGACTTTTTATAGCCACATTTTCTAACTGATAACCAGCCAAGAATACTTAAACTTTAATTCCTATACAACTTTATAGGATAAAAAAAAACGTTCAAGTGCTTAGCTCACTCACTTGTGAAGCGTGGCAACTGCCTCTCGTGTCTTGATCTGGTCCAGTCCAAACGTAAGGGCAAATCGACGTGCCAGTTCTTTAATGCCACTGACGTGGGCAGATGTCCTATCAAGGTTTGGACCTTGCTCTTGAACAAGTTCATTAAACAACTGGCAAAATAATAAAGATAAAAAAAAAAAAAGAAGACCCCAAATGAAAACAAACACAAAAATTAATGGTGAGGCATTTTACAGCTAAGAAAGCACTGGTGGCCGGCTGGGTAAGGGCTGCGCTGCCAATCCAAAAGTGGGTGGTTCAAATCCAGCAGATCTCAGAAGGAGAAAGATGGGCCATCTCCCCTGTGTGGTTTACAGCTTCTGAAAGCCCTCTGGAGGGCCAGCTCTGACTCAGTGGCAATGAATAATTTGACTATAAGGAACTTTATCAATCGGTAATTCTATAAAGGCCCACAGTGTCATGAGTTTCTCTCCCTGCACTTAATTACATCCACCTTGTTCCCTCTCCTTGTTCTCGTTTCTCTCCTGCAGGGTATTAAACATAGAAACCACCACCACCAAATCTAGAAACTCACCTGTACCTATCTGCCCTCCCATCCTCCTGTTACGATGCAATCGCCTGTAACTGTAAGCAATGGTCTGGGTTCCCATCTAAGGCCACTGACTCCCTCATGTCCTGCATGTCATTCCCTCTCACCTACACTGTGTCGGAAACAATCCCCTTTCTACTGGATCTTTAGATTTTCGAACATATCCCAAACTTCTTGAGCCTACCAGCGATTCAAACCATTTTTCATTTCTTAATAGGAAGGGTCCTGACACGTTGCTTATCTGTGTTTTCCTCATTTCTCACTTTCCTGTCCCTCAGCTGAGTCTAAGCTCATCATTCTACTGAAGAGTGCTTGTCTACCTTGTTTCTGGGTCCCACTGAGCAGGTTCTGACCATGGTGACCTCATGTGACAGCGCGGAACCGCTCCGTTCTCTGGTTTACTTGGCAGGAACCCCGAAATAAGCAGGAGTTTCCTGCTTGGAGTAACTGAATTTGAACCACTCAACTTTTAGGTAGCTGTTGAGCACTTAAACCTTGCTCCCTTGTCTACATTTTTAAAGTTAGTTTTTTCAGCAATGGAATGACTTGAACATTTAATGTGTCCTTACTGGATGCTGTTATTCTTTTAAGGATTTTCAAACTTATCCACAGGTAATTGTTTACCATATTCTTAAACTTTAAAATATGTTCATAGATGTACACAATAGCCTTAAACTTTAATTTTTTTAATAAGGTTTGCCTTTTGGAAGCTCTGGTGGCCTAGTGGCAAAAAGCTGCACTGTAATCCCAGAGGTGTGTGGTTTGAATCCACCAGATACTCCACTGGAGAAGTAAGAAAATCTCCTCCTGTACCAGTCAGATCTGATTTGATGGTACAGGCACAAAAAAAAAAGTTTGCCTTTTAAATGAATACAACTGAATACATTTTCAATGTAAGAAAACACAAGGAATGTAAAAATAAAATTGCTCTCAACTCTCACAGAGTATCATTCTTTTCTCCAAAGGTAACAAATCTCAAGTTTGAAGTTTCTAGACTGGTTTAAAAACCACTTCCTGTTGAGCTGATATGGGAAACCCGACAGAGAGGCACTGTTCCACAGGACTGTCAGTGCCTAAGATTTGGGAAGCGAAGCATTAGACCTTTCTTTTCAGGTGTTTTTGGATGGGTTTTAACACCCAAGTTTTGATTTGCAGCCAAAGGTATTAATTCTTTGCTTCTCCCAAAGATCTTCAAGACCAATTTAGATAGACATATAAAGTTTTAATTTTTACATAAATAATAGCACAATACATATTTTGTCCAGACACTTGCTCTTTTTCACTTGGAAATCTTTTCGCTACTTCAGGGGAATTATAATTTCTCTAACCATTCCTCTGGTGATAGCGAGCAAGGTTATTGACGCTGTCATAAAAAGTGTGGCAACGAAAACATTTTTGCACAGATATCTGTGCACACTTGCATGGATCCAAAAAGGATATACTAGTAAAATTATTGGTCTAAAAATAATATATATCTTAAATGTTAAAATATACTATACCAAATAATCCTTCTATAAGCGCAAGAAAAATTTCTTCCAAACCCCCTTTCCTTCCATATTCTTATTATCATTGCTATTATCAACCATTTTTTTATTATCAACCATTTTAATACATGCCAATGCATTCAGCAGTGATACAAACCTTTTAATTTGCATTTTATCTTTTATTAATGAAGTTATGCCTCTTTTCAATGAATACACTATTTTTTAGTACTTCTTCTCCTGAGAAAATATTTTCCTTTTTCCTATTCATTGCTCACTTTCCTATGGAGTTCATTTATCTTTCTTACTGATTTGTAGGATTTGCTATGTATGATTTAATATCAATTTCCTTTTAAATATTTTCAAAGTGCTGGCTGATGTCCAGATATCTTTAAGTTTACATCTATCATCAAAAAAAACCTTTTTTGGCTTTCTGGTTTCCTTTCTTGGGGTGAGGTTCCCTGCTCTAAGACATAAAAATATTAATAAACTCTTAATTTTTAATGCGCGTATACACACACACACATACACCACCACCACCATCACCACAACATGTATATAGCCCGGTGAGTCGTTATTTCGGTACAGATTTGTTAGGGCTATAAAGACCTATTTTTCCAAAGCACAGTTGGTTCAATTACTCCCTCACCATTTATGAAACAAGTGTAATCTTTTTTCCCACTCATTTGAGATGAGTCTATTCATAGAAATGAACCAGAGATACATAAACTCTAAGATGCACATAGATCTAAAGATGGTCCGACAGCCTGAAGTGATCTATGGATTCACTATGATTACTATGGAGTAAATGCTAAACACTTTAATATTTGGATGTTATCCGTCTCTTGGTAAAGCAAGAAAGATTAAATGCTTCACCTATGACTGAAAGGCTGGTAACTTGAGTTGACCCAGAAGCACAATGGAGGAAAAGCCTGGTCTCGAGTTCTCAAAAACCAGCCACAGAGCCTGAATCTGCTGCACACATAGGTTGTCGTGAGTCAAATGGGCTCAACTACAATTTGGCATGATGCCTTTAAAAAATATTAACACAGATTTGCTCAGTAACATTATTTCCACTTTACAGCCTTCCAAATTCCTCTTACCTGCTGTAAACTGAGGATGAGGGTCTTGGCACACTGAATTTTATCGATCTGCCTGGTTTTACTCAATGTTTCCTTAATAATATCACCATAGTCATTGTAATACTGTGAGAAAAGAAAGAAAGCATAGCTTTAAAATGACTGAAATTTCATGAGATTAAAATGGGTCAGGAGAGGAAACAGAGAAAATAAAGTGTTTAATGTCTTCTTTCATCTGGAATATAATGAGAACGAAAGAGACTGTCTAAAGATAAAGGACTCCAAAATGGATATTCAATGTTATTAAACATTAAAAAAATATAATAACAACCCCAACAATAACCTAAAAAAAAAAAATAATACCCCCCCTGAGATTTCACAAGAAGCAGTAATCAGAAATTCCCATGCTTTATGATACAGATTGCTGAATCTAAGGGAAACATATCAGGAAACAGAACTGTGGTCAAACTTCCTGAAACACTAAAATCAAGACTCTCAGAATAGATTACCTCTGGGGAATGTGTGGGAATGAACAGGGAAAAGGGGTACATTACATCGATAAACTGGACTCTTTGGCGTTGCAGTGCAGCTTCCTGCCACTAGGCCACCAGAGCTCCCTCATTTACTACGACTGTGTTTTATCTCATCCTACAGTAAGTGACCCGACAGCACATACCACCACAAAAACAACCCTCAAATATGTATAGTTAAAAATATGAAAAAACCAAAACAAGTATATTTTTTAAAAAAGGTCAACATTTCTGGTTTTGTTGTTATTTGTTTTTAATATTAAATGGAAAATTACCTCTACTCGCTGGGGTCCAACCCCTTCTAGTGTATTACTCTATGTAGCTAAGTTCTTTAGATCACAAGTTTTTAACAAATTTAAATTTTCCTCCCCTGTAAGTAAATTAATTAGGAAAGGCTTCAGTTAAGTATGAATGATGATGCTGTGAGATACTGTTGGGATGTGACTCCGTGACCCTACGACCTGACTGACATGCTGTCCTCCCTGGCACCACCCTCACCGTCTCTGCATGCTCAAGTTCACTGCTGCAGTCAAGGTGCTGATGTTCTTTCTCATTCAGTTCCAAAATCTATATGGAGACGTGAGTGTGTCTGGCATTCATGAGGGAGAACAAGGAAAAGCCTGAGGCACTCAGTCAACTGAGAAATCTACCTGAGTAGATTTTCAAAATCTTCAAGAAAGACGGGTGCACTTCTATGATAAAGGGATGTCAAAGGAGAAACAGCTAAAAGGACTCTCATCTCAGTATAGTTAAGAACTGCCCAATGAGGAAGGAAACATACCTATCAAAACCCTAACATTGCTTAGCAATAAGACAAGAGAAGGGAATAAAAGGTATCCAAATAGGCAACGAGGAGGTAAAATTATCCCTCTATGCTGATGACATGATAGTATACTTAGAAA